TTTCCTGGCACGTTGCCAATTGACTTTTCCTCCTCGCGCTACGAAATAATGTTGCCGGAGATAGCAGACGCCTCTTTCGGGCGCAAAACGCACCGCCTGAGCCGCGCCGAGCTGAGCCGAGCCGAGTTGTAGTTTTTGCCTGGCCGTCCGGAATCCAGCGAGGTAGTGAAGAAAGGAAAATAAAAAAGGTCAAGATTGCTGTGGCGCATATTTACAACCCAGGCTGGAACGCACCAGGCGGGCCGGTGCGGTCATGCGTTTTTGCACTAAACTCGCAGATTGCTATTAGCAAGAATGATCCCTACGCTGTAGCCTAACACTTGGGTCATATTGGCATGCTTTGATCCTTTCCGGCATGCAGGAGGAAGGGCGACAGATGGGATGAAGGTGGTGCATTATAGCCGGACATCCAAGTGTATGATTATCGGTTTTTTGCATGAAGTCGGTCGTTTTTTCGGCAAATGCTAGCTTTGTGGAAAAATGACAAACGCAAATTTTTTGAAAAAACGCAAATTTTCAGTTCATTAAAAATTGGAAGTATTGCTCGAACGGTCGTTTGTTAAAAAGTCCATGTTCATTTACATATACGATTGCGGTTTAGGTCCGAGTTGCAAACCATTTTGAGTGGAGGAGCTGCTTGAGGCTGTGATTGGGGGGCACGACAGCTGAGTTTAAAATCTTTAGCTCTTACTTACATAGAGAATATCCCTGCAAAGTTTCAGCTTCTTACCTTGCCTGGTTCGCGAAGTCGTTTCTCGCCGACGTATCTTTTGGGGGTCCCATAGCGAGGTCTAGGCGCGTACAGGGAAAGATCTTAAAAGGGGAGGATGAAACACGGGGTAGAAACATATATCAAAATTTCAGCCTCCCGGCTTTCCTGGTTGCTGAAATGAAAGTGGGCGACAAAATGCACTCGCTTCCGAACACACACACACACACACAGGTAGCCTCTCGACAATATGCATTTTTGCAGGCTGTAGTAGAGGTATAGCGCTGCACACAAAAACGCATAAAAATGCATAAAAAACTGAAACTGCTTACTCTTTGTTGCGCTTGAGAAATATTTGTAAGAAAACCCAGCGTGTTTTAAAAAGGTCTAAACCTTCCATATTTTTTGTGGTGAAAGATTACAGAATTTTTCTTTCATTTTCTAGTAAAATAGAAGATCCGCCACATGCGCGGAAGTTCAGGGCGGAACGCTACTGGCATTTTTTCAACCGGTGTAGAAAGAACTGTGCAAAAAGTATTACTGCGTCGGCCAAATAGTACGTATTGCTAATTTTTTATGCTGAGCTGCTGAGAAATCTGCTGAAACCGGGAGGAGCTAATGAACCGCATGTCATTACTGCTTGAGTTGACAAGCCGGATCGCACTTCCATATCACTTGTTACATTCGAGAAGCCGGTTCAACTAACACATGACTTGAAATTACTAAATAATTGGTCAACGCACGCGCTGCCAGTGCGAAGATGCGTTTTTTACATAGTTACCTACAGTTTTTGTCGCTATCAGCACCAATTTTTCTGACAAATGCTTCTAGCTAAACAAAATTAAGACTGGCCGCCAGAACTGTCAGGAAACACAACCTTAAAATTTCAGCTTTCTAGCTTTCCTGATTCCTAAGTTAGCAACTTACTGGAAGAAACTTTCACGCGCCATATGTTGGTACCACGCACACCTGGACTCTGGGTTTGAGCACAATGAAACTTAGGTAAACGGGGGATATCCTCTTAAAATTACAGTCATTTAGCTTTTCAAATTTCCGAGTTATCGATCTGCCTAAAAAAAACTGTGGTGAGCCCGTACGCGAGTACCACGCTTACCCGAAAGCCGGTTTTGAGCTCATTAATACCAACTTGGACGGGGGCATCCCCTTAAGATTTCAGCTTTCTAGCATTTCAGATCTCCGAGTTATCAACTTACCCGAAAAAAATTTTGGCGAGCTCTTACGCGGGTACCACGCTTATCCGGGGGTTGGGTTTGAGCTCACTAATACCTACTTGGGCGGGGAACATTCTCTTAAAATTTCAGCCCCCGTGCATTTCTGGTTCCTGAGTTAGCAGCTTACCCGTAAAAAAACTTGGCGGGCTCTTACAAGAGTATCACGGGGGTAAGAATGCCCATTTTGGGGATATTGGCCCGTACGTGCATGTAGATTAAGTTCCCAAAGTTTCAGCCTTGTAGCTTTTGTAGGTTTCAAGATAAAAAATAGGTACAGAGGCTCAGCGCACGCACAGACACACAGACAGATACACAACCTCTTGTCAATATGCCTTTTCCGCATTGCATAGCTGCAAAAAACGCATTAAAAGTGATTGCCCGGTGAGAAGAATGCCATGATCCCAGTGCTCCGGATCGCTGAGATCACTTCCTGGATTGATAGCTGACTGATGACGGCAAAACAAATTAAGCAGCGTTTGCGCCTGACCATTGCGATGGGCCAGCGTTTCAAGGCCAGCCTGAAAACAATAATACTACCGAAAGGTACCACATACTATAGAATTGGCTAGACTATGTTTCTACAAGAGACTGCTGTAAGTGCCCTCTTGGTGAAAGCTCCGATACCTACAAGGCTCCCATCTTGAACTACTTATAAAAGATCCAGTGTAGGAGAATCACAGCAGTTTTTAATTACAGCAATTCCAATCAAAAGTTTCAATATCAGTTTCCATTCGAGTTTATAAACCATACGCTCCGCGAAATACTCGTAGTTACGGACGATACTGATCATTACAATTCTGTTAGATGTCCCAATTGGTTTTCATGATCGAATTAACACACACAAACATGCAGCTAATTTTAAAGTAACCTGATTTCGTAAAATTTTTGTCTTTAACCTTCTTTTATACGCGTTTTTTCTTCACAGCTGCTTTACGCGCTGAGATGCGAATATTATTTTCTTAGACAAGGAGCAAGTTGGCTGCATGTTTTTAAGCCCACAAACTTCTGCAGTCTATATTCATAAAATTTCAACGTTCCTGATTCAGGCGTTCTGAAGTTTAATCATTTCCTTAGATCCATACATACAAGCACATCTACTCCCACAATGTACATACAAGCACATGTTCTCCCACAGTCCATGCATAAACGCATAAAGAAGTGTTTGACGAGAAGCCTGCGACGCCTCTTTTTAGCACAATACACTGTTGAATCTGCCATATTAACGCTTTTTAATCACTCTTACACTCAAAACTAAGAGATAATGAATGCTGAAGAAGTGGGATATGCTCGGCGGTAAAACTAGATGGATACCGGTTGCTTTTTCCACATTTCGAAGCGTACTATAACGATGTCCAGATTGGGCGACATTGAAGATTGTTGATATAACACATGCACATTATTAATGAGAGCGAGCGAGAAGTCCAGCAAATGCTGCTCCGCATCACCAACGTATTCCCGCTGGAAGTGTTCAAATAGTTTCGAATCCAAGAAAAGGCCAATTTCCAGCGTTACGGGGTCCAGCTGTGGAAATATAAATAGTGAATCGAGCTGACCTTCTGCTGGCACGCTGTAGTTAAGTGTCGGCCCATCGGCTGTAATGTTTAATCCACGTAAATTTTCCTGCAGAGTGAAAGCGAGTGAGAACCGATAAAACAGAGTAGAAATCCAAGTAAGGACACATCCGGCTTGCTAGTACGAACATGTGTTTTTGCATGGTTCCGTCCTGTAAAGAGATCGCCTTTACTACTGACAAGTGAAAGTGGCTCTGCAGTTTAAACGTCTCTTGCACCTTTACGCAGAGCCCATGTCTAGGCACAAGCTCATCTTACACTTGGTAACCGCGCATGAACAGCAAACATCTTCAGAAAAATACCATTTCTTGCTCACTCTGGTGACCTGAGTTAAGCGACTGCCAACAGCGTCTTTCACTTATGCGTATGCAAGATCTAGACTTTATTTGAGGCCGAATTTGAAATATTTGAATCGCACATTGGCATAGAATATCCTCATAAAACTTCAGCTTCCTAGCTTGACCGGCCGGTGAAATCACTATTCATTACATACATCTTTGAAGGTCTGAACGCGTGGCACAGGCATTCATCACAGCTCATTTTGCGTCTACATGACGTAAAATGAGGGTGTGTAAAACAAAAGTTTGCACATAGACAGGGCGTTTTAATCTGCCACGTTCCCGAGTTGAAATTTTACCGCAGTGTCGCATGCAATGTAATTATGCTTTAAAGCTGAATTTAAAACTTTTTGCTTGCACAAAGGCATAGAGCATCCCCGTAAAATTTCAGCTTCCCAGAATGAGATAGCACATACACACAAATGCACACATATGTACGCATAGGCAGCACATACGCATTATACGCACAGATAACCCCTTGCCAATATGCATCTTTGCACTAGCATAAAAATGCAAAAACACGCAAAAATGAGCTTAGCTTTTCCAGCAGTTACAGCACGAAAAACAAAACCATGTAAGTCAAGAAATGTAGCGAAAATCACGAAGGCAAAGCGCAATCACGCGTTTTTAACGAGTAATTGTTGCAAAAGCATAATGAACAATTGTGTGTAAGAGAAATCGACTGCGTCTTCCCAAATAATCGCTTTTTTGTGACGGTCTTTAATTTTTTTGGTATAGAGTCTAAGAATCGTGGTCAACAATGAATTACCAGACTGCTTTTTCGTCGTGTTGAAAAATGAAACATTAAAAAATTTTCCCGAAACTTTAGTTTTCATTTTTTTTGGCATCAGGAGATTGATCAGATTGATCAGACGCTTTTATTTCAAGTCCGCTCGAATAAAAGATTATGACTTTGGAGCTTCAGCTTTACAACTTCCATGTTTTTGGAGCGTTTTTTTCCTTCAAGCACATGATCATCGCAATACGTGTTTTAACTCGAATAAATCAAAATTCAAAACAGTCAACGCAATACGACTAAAAATCTTGCGCTTTGCGAACTGCTAGTATAGGCTACGCGCCTATACTAAAAATTTGAATTTAAGAATAAAAAATCCAGGTTGGAACGCGCCAGGCTTGCAGGTGCGATCACGCATTTTTGCACTAAACTCGCAGATTTCTAATAGGAACGCATAATAAAAAATTTAAATCACCCAGTGATTGTAGGCCACAAAAAGTTCGAACTTGCCGCTTATTTCGTTGAAAAACTGTGGTGATATCACCCTACTTTGTTATACTGTCTCCAGCTTAGTAACTGGAGGTAGCAGAGCAAAAAACACGAAAGATAAACAGCTGGTTACAGGTTTTTGGTTTTGTAAGTGGCCAAAAGCTATTTTTTCAAAGTTCCAGCATTGTTATCAAAAATTTATTTAGGATAACCCATGCAAACGTGGTTTTGCCATAACGCATTTCCTGATTAAAGCAAAAAAAAAAATCCATGCATTTTAAGCAACCAAAGCAAGCAATAGGCGATGCTGTGCATGCACAAG